GCAAACTCAAGACCAAAGACAGCTCATGTGATCACAACGGCTAATAGATTCCAAGCCCTATGTAATGAGCTGGCAGAGACTTCCTAAACCCTAGTAGAACTCTCTATATAACCTTTTGTAAGCAATGAACAATGTAAGAGAGTTTATGAAATAAAAAGAAAGTTTTACCTCTTCACCTCTGTTAAGCCTTTGCTTTCAGGATTGTCAACCAAAAAAGAGATAATATATGTGGTAACTTTTACATTTTCAATTCAGAAACATTCGACAAAGTTATAAACATTTGAAAAAAAATCCAATACTAATAACCTAGACTCATCGGCCGTAGGAAGAGTTTGTAATTATCGGATAAAATTACAAGAAAATAGAAAAGATCGGGTAGCGTAAGATCCATTTATGTATTTTTAGGTGATTAGATTACTTTGTCGGTCTTAAGATTTTTGGGTTTATGATAGTGTCTATATAAAGAAAAATTTGAGGGTTTAAAAAAAAATTGAAGACCTATATTTATGTAATTTTCTTCAAAAATTTTGAAAACCTAAAACAAATATTTCATTAGATATATCCCAGGACAGGTTCCGGTTCCAAATCATGTATTACCTATTTAGTTAGTAATAAGTTGAAGTTAAGAAAAACAAAATAATAACCCAGACTCATCGGTAATTTCACAAAGTGGGTAGTGACTTGGCAACCTCGAAAATTTTGTTAGCCAAAGCCTTTTTCTCTACATCCAGCAACATAAATACGTAATAAATTTGTATGTTTCCCTTTCCGACACCAGTCCTTCTCCCTCATCTCCTTTTCTGTATTTTTTTCACTTACTTTGATTTCTCTTATATAAAAACAATAAAACATTTGTTTTGTCGGCCAATAAAACATTTTATTTCCTTATTCACTATTGTGGAGAATTCTCTTTAAAACCCCTGATTTTGGAATTTTAAGAATAGAAAATAATGAAGATGATGTCAAGCATGACGAATACTCTCACAAAAAAATATACGAATCTAACAAACCAATCTTATTACAAAACCAAAGTATAGTTGGCTCCAGCATTGTGGTCAGTAGAAACTAAACGGCATCTCGGACCCGAGCTAGTGGCGAGCACGCGCGAACTGAGGGAAGGATTGAAGGACACTCGCTTAGACCTGCGCGTGAGATGAAAATACGAGGTAATAGATGAAACGAAAGGTCATTGGTGGATGAAAGAGGGAAAAAGTGGACCCCGCAGTTTGTCCGTACTAGGGGATTGATCTTTTCTGGTAACATTTTCCTTTTCTTCTCATAATTCCTTTTTCCTTTTTTTGATATAACAAAAAATCTCTTTGATTTATTTTATTTTAAAATGTATTATTCACTTGTATATACGTATGTATCCTCGTCGTATTTTCAAACTAACCCCCAGGATTGATCTGCGCCACTCGTTCAACGTAATCGAATTTATATTTGTACCGGACACAACCGAAGTTTCAGACAAGAAAACCTACAAGAATATTGAAATGGAATTGTATTTCTAGGAATATTGACATAGGTAATCTTTAGTATTGAGAACGGTTCGTTTGTAAGCAAGGTTGCATGTGGCTTTAAGCCTTCTCTATGACGCCTGATCAATAGAGACTACTACATCTATGAAAAGCCCGTATCCACTGATGAATCATGTTAATGGAACCTTTCAACTTGAAGCAGATTTATAGGTCCTTTTGTCCGCAAATGGCTCTGGTATTGGTGGAAGCTGAGCTGATGTCTCTCTTTCAGGGCTTTCATCAGCTTGACAAAACAAACAAAATTATGAATAAATGAACAATGAGCCCAAAGTTCACAAGTAAAACATTGACAACACAAATGGTCTATAGCATTGAGAATTATTAGTTTGTAAGTAACGATTAATGCATTTACATTTTGTCAAACTTTTACCCGAAAAGACTACTACAGTAAGAATCAAACGAACTAACCATCAAAAGAGGAAAAAATAATTAGATTTGTTATTTTGGTGAGCAATTAGTCACAACCAAGTAAACAACTAGTATAGCTTGATAAATGAGTTTAAAAAGCTTTGGAAATTAAGTTATTTATTTAAAAAAAAAGTTATTTAATTTAGCAAAGCCTCTGGTTAGAACAAACCGTTAAGAAAAAGTAAAAGATTGGGCAAGAATTTGAAGCTTTAGAACATCTTTAATGCAAAATTTCATATTTTTTCCAAATGGAATATGGTTTGCTATATCCTATCCTATTTTGAACTGAAAATTAGAATAAACAAAATTTTTTATCTATTTATGAAGTAAATCTATTTTTATTTTATTACGAAGTATAAAATATAATCGAATTAGAGTATTTCTTACTTCAAATTTTATTTTGGAATAAGTAATGAAGATGCTCTAAGCATTAGTCAATGAATACAAACTATAAATTATAAATATTATTTGTATTTTATAGCTAGCAATTCCTTCTATAATCTATAGTGGGAACCTATTACTTGCTTCTCTTCAAGAAATTGCTGTTTTTGGAATTTCACTATAAATAAGCATATAAATAAATTATTTAATTAGTATAAAACTTGATATCTCATCAACTTTAATATGCTTGATCGTGAGAACACCTATTTATTGTACATAAATATACACAATTAACATATATAGACCCATGCGTGACCTACTTGTATTTGTATCCCTTTAGCTTTTATTCATACATAAAAGAAGAAGAAAACAAATAAAAAGCTTCGTGCCAAGAGCAAAAGTTTTATCAAATTTGGAAAATTTGTGGTGGGGTGGGTACATTAATCTATCAAATTATACATTTTATTGCAAAAAAATACCTTTAATAGATTGCTTGCCAAACCAAGCCGTGGACTTTAATTTTCTTAAAACATGAAATTACACATTAATGGAATCTTTGATTAATCAGCGATGATGTTTGTATACATAGATAATAATAAAAGTGGAAATATTTTTATAAGAAAATAAAGAAACTCCAATACGAGGAATTGTTTCGAATATAATCTTTTTTCCAAAGAAAGCAAGTGGTTGGAGAGAGAATAATATTATTAAAAAAGTGGAGAGAGAGAGAAAAGGGCAATGGAAGTAAATATGAAGTAAAGGATAAAAAATGAAATCATTCGTAGAAGCAAACTCTGAAACATCTCTCTCTCTCTCTCTAACTCTTTCTTTGGTTTCTCTCTTATTTAGATTACAACCTTGAGGAGAATCAAACCAGAGAGAGGATTAAAGTTTGAAACCTCAAACATCAAAAAAAAAAAAAACAAGAAAAGAAAAGGTTTAGGACAAAGAAAAAAAATGTGGGATCTAAACGACTCACCACACCAGACATTCAGACAAGAAGAATCTGAAGAGTTTTGTTATTCTTCACCGGGTAAACGGGTCGGATCTTTCTCTAACTCAAGTTCATCTGCTGTGGTCATCGAAGATGGATCCGATGATGATGAACTTAACCGGGTCAAACCTAACAACCCACTTATCACCCATCAGTTCTTCCCTGAGATGGAACCTAGTGTCGTAGGAGATGATGGTGGTACCGGGTCGGGCTTTCCTCGGTCTCACTGGTTTGGTGTAAAGTTCTCTCAGTCGGATCTAGCTACCGGATCATCGGCGGGTAAACCCGCGACCGTTGCTGCCGTGGTGGAGCCAGCACAGCCTTTAAAAAAGAGTAGGCGTGGACCAAGGTCTAGGAGTTCTCAGTATAGAGGCGTTACGTTTTACCGGCGAACCGGAAGATGGGAATCTCATATTTGGTAACAAAATAACTACACTAAAAAGAATTCTAATTTTGTTAATTTGGTATAATCATATAATCAAATCATATTCAAAGATATTAATATAAAGTATTTTTCTTATGTATCTCTGAATTTCAGGGACTGTGGGAAACAGGTTTACTTAGGTAATTTTACTCTCTTTTTTTTTTTGTATTCTGGTGTTGAAAAATGTTTTAAAATAAATAAAATTTCCTGAATAGGTGGATTTGACACTGCTCATGCAGCTGCTCGGTATGTTTTTCTTCTCTCGTAGACATCTCTTTAGTAATTAAAATTTTCTATATCCAAGAAAGACGTATTGTTCCAAAAAAAAAAAAAAAAAAAAAATCCAAGAAAGACGTATATAATTTAAATGTTTCAGTTTCATTTATTTTCTTATGTAGAGCATATGATAGAGCTGCTATTAAATTCCGTGGGGTGGAAGCTGATATCAATTTTACAATCGAAGATTATGATAATGACTTGAAGCAGGTAACTCTTCTATAACAACAACAAATATACAATCTATATATTGATTGATTAATAATAAAAATTAAACCTGTTGATAGATGACGAACTTAACGAAGGAAGAGTTCGTGCACGTACTTCGCCGACAAAGCACAGGCTTCCCTCGAGGAAGTTCGAAGTATAGAGGTGTTACTTTGCATAAGTGTGGTCGTTGGGAGGCTCGAATGGGTCAATTCTTAGGCAAAAAGTACTTTCGTTAACAAAACCATTCGATTATTTTCTTTAATATACAAATAGATTTGTTATTGTAATTAACTTGAGTTTTGATTTTTAAAATTCTTCAAATTAGGTATGTTTATTTGGGTTTGTTCGACACCGAGGTTGAAGCTGCTAGGTAAATTATTTGATTCCACTACACACATTGTTGGAATTTATATCATATAATGATTCTTTTATTGAACCACAGAGCTTACGACAAAGCTGCAATCAAATGTAATGGCAAAGACGCTGTGACTAACTTTGACCCAAGCATATATGACGACGAACTGAATGCAGGTAATTTTCTTAAACTCTTCATTATTTTAGATTTTTCTAGTCCTTTTATCTATCTTGTGGGTTAATACAAACTTGGTTACATTGTGTAGAGTCATCAGGGGATCCTATTCAACAAGATCATAATCTCGATTTGAGTTTGGGAAACTCGGTTAATTCGAAGCAAAAGGGTCAAGACATGCGGCTCAAGGTAAAGGTTTAATAGTTTTTACCTTTATTTATTATTCTTTTGTTAAAGACATTGTTCTTTTTATTTAGATGAACCAACAAGATTCCCTCCACTCTAATGAGATTCTCGGATTAGGTCAAACCGGAATGGTTAACCATCACCAAGTGAGTAAAAACACAACATCAATAAACACTCATTTGTTTAGATTTTTTCTATAACAGCAATATATCTGTGTGGTGTAAAATAGTTTTCGAGCAGCAGCAACATTGGCAGCGGAGGAGGATTCTCGCTATTTCCAGTGGCCGAGAACCACCGGTTTGATGGTCGGACCACGGCGAACCAAGTGTTTACAAATGCTGCAGCATCATCAGGATTCTCTCCTCATCATCACAATCAGAGTTTTAATTCTACTCCTACTTCTCATCAGAATTGGCTGCAGACTAATGGCTTCCAACCTCCTCTCATGAGACCTTGAATCTTTAATTTTTTTTTTTTATGTATAAGAAACAAACTCGAGGGAAAATGAACGTTTAAAGCCTCTGGCCCCATATGTTCATGGTCATTAAATTAATTATCGGATTTTGTTTGTTTAATTCTCTTTAAACGTCTTGTTAAATTAGGCTAAGAAGAATTCTCAGGAAACTCAATGGTATTTAAACTTTCCTTGATCGGATATTTTATGAATATAATATATTCAGTTATTCTGTTGCCAAAAAAATATTCAGTTATTCACATCACTTGGATATATGGGAAATTGGATAGTTGTATGATTTGAGATGTTCTGACTAAAAAGGTTGAGAAGTGATTTGTATGAGTTGTCTTTTGTTGTTTCTTCTCGATACTTTTATTAAAAGAATTTAAACCTTACTGCTTTACATGTTGCCTGCACCTATCTACAACTCTGTTCAGCCCTATCTTGTTTTTATCATTCCTCAAATAATATTGAAAGATTTTACCCCCAAACACTTCAATTAATATGTCCAGCTTTTTTTTTATTCCTCAAACTTACTTCGTTTTATTTCTGTTTATTTCAAACTATTCACCCAATTAAATCCAAATGAAACTCATCAAGCAACTGTAAAAAATCTGCCAAAGAGAAAAGTTATCTTTTACGGTTACAAAAAGTCATAAAGAAAAGGTAGATTTAGTCAAAATATGTTTTGAACTTCCATTTGACAACAATCATGACTAGCACATCTTATTGACTAATTTAATAAAAACAAAATAAAAAACCTTATATAGCTTGAAGTGGGATTGATGGAGTAAGTTGTCAAAAAAAAAGGATTGATGGAGTAATAAATACTCCATTCGTTTCAATTTAGTTGTTATTCTAGGTTTTTTCACATAGATTAAGAAAACATTTAATTTTACATATTTTCAAGATAAAACACAATTACCTATATAACTAACCACTTTTTAACTAATAGAAAAATAAAATATTATATAAAACTAATAAATTTTACCTCGAAATTCTGAAATAACACTTAATTTGTGAAAAAAAATAAGCTTAGAATGACAAATATTATATGAAATGGAGACAGTAAGACTTTTCATAGTTTATAAACGTGATGTTTTTTGTTTTGTCCACTTCTTAGATATTTTTACCGACAGAAAACAGTGATATTTATGTTCTTACATCATTTATCGTTAGACGAGAGAGAGAAACAGAAGTGGATTGGTACTGATGTTTCCCTAATGGAGTAAGAAAAAGAATGCCTCGCAGTTATTTTACGATCTCAACAAAAGTATAAATGAATATCAACCGCAAGATCTCTTTCTTTTTTTTTACACAAATCATATTCCAAGCTTTGAGACCGTTCATTTTAAAAGAGAACAAATAATATTCCAAGACTAATGAATACTATGACGAAAAACAAATCTTGGAAATATTAAATTTAGTTATAAAGAGGAAAGAGGCAGTTTAAAATTGGGGATTATTAAGGATGAGTGGTCATTTTCAAGTAATGTATCCTTTGAATCAGTTTCTCTCTCTATCCTCACAGAAACCCAAAAGAAGTCAGACATTGTTATAATGGTGAGAGAGACTTCACGGCTTCATTTCCTTTCTCTTAATTTTAAAGGTTGGTATTTTTAATTACACGTTTACTAATCTTACACTTATTCATGAAACCTTTCCTAGATTTCACTTTTTATTTTGTCTAACTTGTTCCTCCTTAAAACATCCGTTGGTCATAGTAATTTACGGTTTAATGTATTCCTACTACATATGCTTTCTACCTACTACGTTAGCTTAACCAATGTACTTTGGGTTTACAGCGAATACAATGATCGCTTTAAATTTATAGTCGCCTGTTTAATTTTTGTATAGATGTACTAAGCATGCTGAATTATGTCAGTATATATAGGTACCTACTGTAAACAAACTAAACATATTAAATAACAGTTAATAGAAAGCCAACTCTCGAAAAACAAAAAACATAATATATAACATGAATATACAACTTTTACCTCGTCCTAAGATCAATTTGCATCACATATATACTCGTATTAATTTGTATATGCACCTATTTGTATGTGTGTGTTGTTTCGAGCATGTTAAAATATATCTAGGGTTCGAAGGCAAGTGGAGATTAGTGTACGAGGAAGCGGTACATGGACCAATGAATGCAGACTTCGTGGGGAATTTCGAAACTTTGTAATTAGTTGACCAATGAAGCGGTACATGGAGTATTGTTTTTAATCATACGATAAGGAATCAGTTGGTCGATGAATATAAATTGTCTGCATAAACTAAAACAAATAAAGTAAAGTATTAAGTACGGTTTTATGTAGTATTAAATTGAAGATGACCCTAATTTCGTCACTGAAGTCGTCACTTTGGAAATATGATAATGGCATGAGGGGTAGTATTTAACTTTAATAATTTTCTATAAGTGGCAAGATTTGTAGTCTCACGAGGATAATCGTATTACTCAACTTGCCAGTACACTTCTTGATTGTTCTTAGTGCTTCAATATAAAATTCTTCAATAGAGAAAGTTTAAGATACTAATTAAGAATGCATATAATTAAATAATAGTGGATATGCTTTTTTGCTTATGGAGTCTCCTGGAAAACAAACAACTTGCAAGCAATACCTAGAATATAAAATCGATATCATAGATTAATGATAATTCAAACTCACTTTTTTAACTTATACGTGTGATCCTTTTTATATAAAATGAAGTATACTATTTAATATATCCTAAAGGAATAAAACTACATGTATAAGGCTGTAAATATGGGTTATATGCATTTTAGCAAGATGAATACATATATATTCTAAATCTATCCTAAAGGAATATAACTTATGTATGAGGCTGTACATATGGGTTATATGCATTTTTGTTCATCACAACTGTCAACTGGAATGTGATTTTGGACTAAGTATGTAACTACCCATTTGTTTCGAACCTTATTTAGGATCGTCTCTGATCGAACAAATTATTATAAATCAATTGGATGGACCATGTGATGAATTTTTCTATATGGTATAGTGTAATTTCTTCAATTAAATGATTTATTTACTGGGTAGAGGACAAGTTAGGGTGTCAATTAACTAATGTTTCTAGTTTTGAATTAAATAATACTCCATTAAATTTTTTTTTTATATGACGTTTTGGAATTAGACACATAAATTATTGAATTCCATATTTTAGTTAAAAATATCATTAACGATCTAACTAGTTACAGTTCAACAAAAGAATATTTATACAATAAAAAATCATATTACATAATAGTTAATAAATTTTATGTGAAAAAACAAAACGACATATAATTTAAAACAATTGTTTTTTCACTGACCATTTATTAAAGATATAGCCAATATAAAATCTGAAATGATTTAATTTTAATTATATTTTAAAATAATTTTAAGTGAATCTGAGAAACCATTATATAACTTTATCTAAAATCATGGGATTTGAATTTTCGATTTTATAACTAAGAGCCTCTCAGACAATCTGGAAACACTTAAAACACTTTAAAATCAACAACTTGATTTCTTGTTTAGTAACAATAGCTTTTAGAATATTTTATAATATAACAAGTTTAATAATACTAAGTTTAAGAATTATTACTCGGAAATAAAATTAGAGTGGTCCCAAACGAAGACAGGTGTCTCTCATGCTTTGTCGAGAAAAAACTGTAAACACGGAATAAACATTAGACTGTAATATGTATACAGTATTATTATTACTAACAGCGATGAACGAACTCATGTTCTGCAATCTGCAGCAACTAAAGTAAACCACAAAAAGTTATAACAATTTTGAAAGCATAAATCATATAAAAACATCTATTAAGTTATACTTTAAGATCTCTTCTTTTGCATCGTATCTAAGAAGCAATGTCTATTCTGCAGAGGCACGTAGATGATAGATTCAACCTCTTTTCACGAGAGTAGAAAACTCTCTGAAACAAATGACATTTCTGTTGTTGTAGAAAGTATATTTACCCTGCAAGATAAATATAAACTATTACTTTTTACAGTCTGCCATTTCTTTTTCTTTTCGGCTTTGTTTCTTTTAATTATGTATTGCCATTCAAGTTGTCAGTTTCCATATTTAGAATATTAGTTCGATGCGTCTTATTGTCCGAAAATATCGTGAAAGGATAAAACGCAGAAAAAAAAATGAAATTATAATTTCATCAGAAGCACATATAAAGGGGTAGAGTATGGAAGAATATAGTTAATATTACAAACGTGAGATGTGAATTATGTAATTATTTTTCTTTTGTTGATGATACATAGTAATCAATATTTAGCATTACAGTTAATATTTATACATCAAATTGTATAGTAGTTAAAGTTTAAAATTATATTGCTTCTTCTTTTCTCTTAATGAAGAATCTCTTTTTAGGTGCAAGTGGAGAAGACTCATTTTAACACACACAGCTTCATCATATATTGTCGTCCCTCACCGACAATTTTCTTACCTTATTGCCTTTCTTTTGTCCCATCGTTTTCACCATATTTCCATTTATAGTAAACTTCAATTTGAAGTGCATTTTGTTGAATCCATCTTATCAGCTCTCTTTATGGAGTGAAATTTCCATGAACCGAAATCACGTTACAAGGCCACTAAAGAAATACAGATTTTATTAGTGATGAGCCTAACTCACACCCAAAAGCTAGCTCAAGAGTGGAGGATTGCCCATACACATATATATTGCCCAAGGATCATATTAATACCCGATGTGGGATATATAATAGCCCCTCTCGAGATGTGGGTGGGAAACGGTCCATAGGGAAACAGCCCAAGCCCAACATCTCGGAAATACCACAGCATATGGGCCACTTTTACAGGCTACATAGGTAGGAAACTGTTTATGTGGGAAATCATAATGCTGGGCCAAACCATGGGCTCTGATACCATATTAGTGATGGGCCTAACTCACACCCAAAAGCTAGCTCAAGAGTGGAGGATTGCCCATACACATATATATTGCCCAAGGACCATATTAATACCCGATGTGGGATATCTAATAGATTTTTCTCAAAAAAAAAGAAATGCAGATTAAAATGACGTTATAAGGGATTTACTATTCAGACTTAATCCTTATATACCGTGTGACATAATATGAAGGCTTTATGCTAACCAAGTAACCAAATAGAAAAATAGCTGGGTAAACTAGTTAATTAGTAGTATTGATTAGTCAATAAAGAAAACGATTGTGATATCTGAATTCACCACCAAAGTCCTAACCCTTGAAGAATC